ATCCCGTCTTCGGGTCCTTCCACATATCAAAATTGTTTTGCATAAGGGAAGATTTACTTTCCATCTTTAAAATGGTAGATTGGTAGATGTATAAGTAGGAGAATAAGAGAAGATGAAGTTTGAGAAAAAGTTGGAGAAGTGGTGTGGAAAAATGTTTAAAATTAGGAGTAATTATAGTTTTTTTAACCCCACCCCCCAACCCAACCCTTCCCCACCCTCAAAAGGCCCGGACCCCCCCCCCCCTACAACCCACCCAATGGCTATATAGCTGTTTGAGAAGTGGGGTGCCCCAGCCAAACGGCTCCTTTGGGAGCAAAAAGATTTTTTTTAAAAATGATAGCCATTGGGGACCCGGACCCGGGCCCGACCCGGCCAAGCCGGGTCACCCTTTTACGAAACCGAGCCCCCGCCCCCCGCTTCGGGGTCAACACCCGGTCCCGGACCGTCGGACTGGGCCGGGCCGGTCACGGGCCCGAACTGACTCCACCACTAGATCATCGGATGTATTATTAACCAATTTTTCAGCAATAGTAGAAAGAGTTGTCGACCATTCATGGAATCATGGGTCGTGATTGCAATAATGAACAATATAAATTTATCTTACGAAAATATTTAACTTTTATAATAGTTACATTCAATTTATCATTTTTTGGGTTGAACTGATGATTGTAGTAAAAAATTAAAGGACAAGGATCAAATTTGGACACTGTATCACATGAGATTCTCATATTGACCACTATAAAGTTTCAAACGGATAAAATAGAACACTATAGTTAACATGTAAATCCCTTATAGCCACCAAAATTTCATAATTTCATGATTTTTGGACTCACGTGCGATTCTCTTTTTCCTTTAAATAAAATCCTTAGTCTTATTATTACTCCGTTTTGCATACGTGCCAGACTTTTTCTTAGGATCCCCTTGACACCCTTATAGTCTTATACCCGTGTGCAAAATGAAACTTTAAACCATACGCATCATCAACTGGGATTACACAAATGTAGACGACAGTCGACAGCATAAAAAGGAATACAACATAATCAAACTAAGAACAAGAACTTTCTAAACCATACATGCATTCCTTGGGAATAGTATAACACTATAACTACTTATCCGAATCAAAACTAACAGTCCAATAGTTAAGGTAACATTGCTGTTCACGTTAAACAAGCACAGCTTTCAGGGTAGTTTGGGGACAACCGAGTTATAATGCTCCCCGAGATCCATAGGCATGCCTGTGGTATGACAACAAGATACTATCCGGCCCAAACGAGGAGGTCCCACCATTTGGCTCATCATTATTATATATTCCTTTCCCATCTCCACGTCTGGGAATGACCCCGAATATATAACAACATGTTTCTTCAAGACATGAGTAAGGGCACCAAGCTCAAGTTGACCGCCCCACACAGCCGTTGACTCCACTTCTCCACAATAATCTTCAAACCTCTTCAAAACGGAGTCATCATGACCCAGTGACCCGCCCACTTTCTCAGAGAGGAAAAATGGAAGGAAGTACGACGAGGTGTTTTCCGCATGTAACCCGCCGCCATCTGGCGGAGTTCTAAGTAAGTATAAGGGCACGCGCCTCGGGATTGGATGCTTAACTGGTCCTCAACGGCTCTGTAATAGACAGTGCCCGTCGGGCTTTATTTGGTTAACGGTGAGCCCAAGTGGTCCGAGTTTCTTAACCAGCTTCTCGTCCTCAATAGCCCGATCGCTTTGGATATTACTCTGCTCTTCTTGGATCCTCTGCTCCCGAGCCTGCTTCTTGTTGGGCTCTTTTTTCACGCTTCTTGACGCTCTTACTGGGCTTTGAATGGTCAGAATGGGCCATGTGCACTGATATGCCTGCTATCGCATTGACTAAGTTGTTTAGATCTCCTTTACTGTCCTGGTCGTTGGTGTTATTACCATTATTAAACCCTAAAGAAGCGAGCTCACGGTTGTGCATGTCTTTGAGTTCGGCAGAGAGTTTGGATATCTCTTCGTCCACCTGTTTCTTCTTAGCTCTCTGCTCTGCCTTGCTGCCTTTTGCAGCTACCTTTTTCATTGCGGTTTCCTTGTCTTGCAGCCTGGAAATCTCGTTCCTGTGTAGAATGCGGTAAACTAACATTTACACCCTCCCTCTAAAAAAACCTCTTCAGTCAAGCAAATCTAATTCTCCTATTCATGTAATTTGATTAAAAAAAAGAGTTCAAACTTAAAACTTACAAACAAGATTAATTCAATAAATATAGTTTATCCGAGAGAATTTATTTTTAAAAAATACAGGGCTCTGTGAATAAGAATAGTGCCTTGCAAAATTTAAAAGGTTGTGCCACTTTTTTTGACAGGCTCAAGAATTCCTTTACATGAAAAACCTTTTTTGAGTAACATTTTACAAAGGTTGTTGCCACTTTTGTTTTACAGGCTCTAGATTCCCTTTACATGAAAAACCTTTTTTGAGTAACATTTTACAAAGTATCCGTACTGACATTAAACAACACTTAAAAGTTCTTTTTAAAGAAGCAATTGACATGTAATTCAATTCAAAAGACACAAAACTGCCCTAAGAGACACAAAACTATTTTTGGTTGTGCTGCTACTAGAACCACTTTTTTATCTGAACAATTTCTCTTAGATCAGCTATAAACAATAGCACATCCAAACAAACCCCCACAATATTTCTATTTAGATTGGGACAATTCCATAAATAAGAAACATAATGCAGTTACTCACATTAAAACCATGACCATCATGCTTTTTATTCTACAAATAGAACTCATTTTATATTTCCTAAAAGAAGTGTTTAAACCTTCATTCAAGACTGCATGAGCCTTATTTTAGGATAAAACAAAGACACTCCTATTAGACTATTAGTACATATGATTCTTGTTTTACTCCTATTTGTTTGATTTTGTTTAATTTGGATTTCTTAGATTCTTAGTCTTTATGTGATAGAAATATATAAACATAATGAGTTTGAACAAATGTCTGAAAACAAATTTATTAAACTATGAAGCATATTTTTTCCTCAAATTTCTCTGGTTTATTTCTCAAACTTTACAGGTTCCAAACAGACCCAAGTTGTTTTCTTTCCTTCCCAATTTTTTCTCACACACTTTACAGGTTCCAATTTCCAAATATACCGAAATTGTATTGTGACGCAACGGCATAACAAATTTTCTAACACAGCTACATAAAATTAAAGGAAATGATTATTTTGGAATGAGTAATATACTGACAAAAAGTAAAGCAAGTTTGCCAAACTAATATGAGTATCATATAGTAATATATATACATAATAACCTGTGCCTACTAAGCATCTCCTCCAAGGTCTCTTGCTTCTTCTGAGAATCATTTTCTGAGGTCAAATCAGACAATTCATCCTCTACTCTAGGTATGTCCTCCATTAGAAAGTTCGAATCTAAATCCAAAGCAAGCATATCATTATAGGGGTGGGAAAGGGCCGGGGAGGGGAGGGTAATATATAATTTTCTAAGAACCGCAGCTTCCTTTAAACGGGTAGAAATAATAATAACAAAGTAACAGACACTATTCAAATTAATACCACAAGACCAATTATCTAAGTTCAGCATGGAATCAAACAAGCTCCAAAAAATCAGCAACATGTTCCAAAATTAGCAATAATGTTGCTGCAACATAGTTCACTTTCAACTTCCAAAATAACAACAAAGTACACTTTCAAGTCCCAAAATCATTTCCAAAGTAACAAACTGCAACCAAGATACTAGCCTAGAGATAATCGAAAACAGAGATATTGAGATCCTTCATAACCAAAAAATAGAAGAGGAAATTGAATTAAAAAAAATGAACTATTTGTGAGAGATAGATTCAGGTAAAATCTATCATGTATATGGTGTTTTGAAAATCTTGTATGCAGACATGATGTCATTTTGTGAAAAAAACATGAGATAGATTGGAACTCACTGCAATAGTTTTTCTATACGCCTTCCAAATTTCTTAAACTATCAACAGCAAGAGCATCAACCTTCTGGAACCCACTGCAGTAGGTTATCTTTGCAGTTTTCCCCTCTTATTTCCTGTCAACAGCATGTGGTGAACAAGAAATTCAACGAGGCAAGGCATAAGTAATACTACGTAAAAGATATTTATATCTATTTGAGTTCTTAAATATAATCCAAACTACAATGGATTCCCCTATTCCACTGTTTAAATTTTGACATGCTTGTTTAACCTATAATTGTGACATAAAGTGAAAGTTATATGCATAAAGTTCATACTTTTCGATGTCATTTGTAAGTTTCTAGTAATTAGGAACTTAGATATCTGATACAAGATTATTAAGAGGATGATGACACAACCCTTTTAATACATTTTTCTTATATTGTATTTACTATATTACTTCACATGTCAATTATGGTAAATTTATGCATGGGATGGTGAAGGGAAATGCGCAGCTTGAATGAAAGATTTTATCTGAGATATATATGCCCGAATCATTAAGCTTCAAATCCTTTGTTGGCATCTACAATAAATGTTAATGTATTTGGATTTTATGGTGTATCCTATTATTGGGGCCACTCGCCCACTCCTAATGCCGTACTGAAGCACGAAAGTTGAAGGGCTGACCAAATATCATGTTTAAAGGCACTTTCAGGTACACATAAAGCATAGAAATCATGTTTTGAATTACTAACGTTCAACAATAGTTAATTAGTTATTGCTTAGTTTGCTAATCGCGGCACCATGGCTTCCAGAAATATATGACATCCAAATACAAACCGGAGTATTCATAAGGTAAAGAATAAACACTCCTTTGTACATAAGAAGACATCTTCTCGCATACATTGATTCAGATTTCACAACAACAAAAATAACCCTAAGAAAAACATTGAAACTACGAGAGAGCAGAAACGCACCAGACATCGCATAGATAACACATTGTTCGACGATTATGCTGTTCCAGCTTCCGGGAGTATTCCGCGATTATTGGCCGACGACTTCTGCTGTTCTGGCCTCAGGAAGTATATTATTCGACGATTTCCAAGTCTAGCTCCAAAGCCGGATATGCGCCTGTGCAGAAGGCTCAAAGCTGAAGGGCTGAATAGCCTGAAGGCCCAGAAGGCCATTAGGGCTGAATAGCCAGCCTTTTAGAAATTGGAACTTACCCGGCTCGTTTTCTACATAGGGTCTGTTTGCAATTTGCAAACGCTTAAAAAATAGTTTATCGGCTTTTGACTTATAAAAAGCTAAAATTAGTGCTTTCAAGTGACAACTTTTACTTAAAAAGCGTTTCTTGACTTTTCGTTGAAAACTGTTTTTTTACGTTTTTCTATTACACAAAGAGCATGTATTTTATCCAACACTTCCAACTTTTACTTTTCAAAATCACTTTGATCCACTAACGTATAACACATCTTTGATCGTAATCTTCCTATTACAGATATCTCTGTATCCAAAGATATTTGCTCAACCTCTCTTTCCTCCTAGTCATGTGTGTGGAGCAACCAAAATCAAGATACAACACATGACTGATCTACAAAAATTAAGGAATCTTAGGTACCCTTTTAAAGATGGGTTTGTCCTGTTTATTTGAAGAAATAATTGATGCAATTTTATTAATTTCATTTTTAGGAACCCATACTTGCTTGATTTTAGGGACATGTTCAAACTTATTCTGGAAAGATGAGTGATTGTTTTTAACATTTTTGAAAATTTTCTCTCTTTCTAATCTCTTAAGATGTTTGATTGAATAAACTTTCAAACGATAATTTAAACAAACACCTTTACAAGTAGAGAAAGTAACACAATCATTATCAGCATTCACATCACTCACATCACATTTAGAAAAAAGAGAATTTAAATAATCAAACTTAGGATCATCACAAGAAAAAGAGTCAACAGATCTTGAATGAGAAAAAGAAAAGTTAGGTGAACTGTCTGAAATATAACTAGAGAAACTAGCTAAAGAACTAGAGCGAAAACAATTTCTAAAACTATTACAAGACTTTTCAACAAAATAAAGTTTTTAGAAAACTTTTTGGGTTGCTCAAGTCTTGTCTCCTTGCTAGTAGCATTCTTGGGAATCCAGGTCATTCTTCCTACATGGTGATTAGAAAAAGATTTTCCTGTATGGGGAGGTCAAGAAGAAGATGAGTCCTTTTTCTTATAAAAATGATTTTTCTTTTTATTCTTTTCAGAAAAGGAATTACCAGGAGCTTTCGAGCCTTGAGAGTATTTGTTAGTTAATTCTGAAATTTTCTTTAAAAGAGTTTCCTTTTCATATTTAAACTTTTCTCGTTCTTCTTCAAAACAATAATGGAGATCAGCCATTTTCTTGATTATTGCAGGAAAATATGGTTCAAAAACCTTTGAAGTAAATGTGTGATGTGTGTTTTCTCGCACTTAAAAAGATTGTGATATAGTGGTGTAAGTACGAGTATCGTCTCCACAGGGACAGACAAAAGGGAATCAAGAATTAATTAAATTCAGCGATTAAAAAGAAAATAAAATAAAAGCGTCGTGCGAGATTGGTTGGTTTGGAAAATAAAACTGATGCGAACAATTAAACTAGGGGGTTCTTTCTAATTAATGACGAAGGGAACAGAGATCGATTCCGGGGTAACCAGATTTCTGGCAGATCAGGCCTAATTACATGAAATTAATTTAATTGAGCTTAGCTAATCATTACTAAGTTCTTACCGCTCTCGCGGCGTAGAGTACAATAATTTAGGGGACCAGGCTGATCTCTCATGCAACAGGATCCTAAATTATTGCCAAGACGAGCGAGCTTATGGCCCCTTAATCGCTACTAATCTCTTAGCGAACGATTAAGTGTGTGTGAATGTGTCCTAGAACAAATTAGATCTCTCTTAATTTATTCTACATGCAATTGTAATTCTAGTCGCGATTCTAGGTTACAAAGATATCAATTAAATTATTCAAACACAAATTAAACGACATTCATGCAATTAATCCATCAAGAAACTAGCCATACATAATGATCAACCCCTTCATCAATCCCAATCCCTAATTAAACTACTCACAATTCATAATTGAAGAATCAATAGAATTGGGAAGAATAGAATTAATTGTCATTAATTAAAAAGGTGGAACTTACAAAGAATCCCAAAAGATTGATGAACAAGGTTGAAAAGACCTCTAAAATTCGTGCTAGGCACTCTCTCTAAGCTCCCCCCTCAAAACAAGGGTTTACAGGCTGTTTAAATAGAAAAATCGGGTGAAATTTGAGCTGAATTAGGATTTTCGGAGCCAGACACGATGCCAGGCACGATCGTGCCTTCGATCCTGCCTCCGGAGCAAAAACGCGCATTTTGGGCAGGCACGATCGTGCCTCCCTCCAGGCACGATCGTGCCTGGCTGGCAGTAACTCCGCAGTGCTTTTCTCTTCAGGCACGATCGTGTCTGACTTTGAGAGCACGATCGTGCCTACTTAACTTTCGAATTTGACAAAACTTCCTTCATGAAAGTTGTATATAATGAAGTCCTATATCCACCCCAATTTGCCGATTGTGATTTGAATCATCCAATCAAGAGATATGATCAAAACAGTGGAAGGTGTCTTTCTGAAACCGCAGCAGAGATCATCTGACTTCATCGTCTGTTTTCACCTTCTTCCTCTCAGATTCTCGCAAAGGTGTCTTCATATGATTTGTAGCCCTTGAAGTTGGATTTCCTATGGAACTTGAATCGTGTACATTGGATGTTTCTACAAAGAGATATGCTTGAACGATTGACAGAAGGTCATCCTGATCGTCGTTTTCAAGCTTCATTCATCTTCTTTTGACCCCGTAGCCAATCCTAGAGCTCTTTTTTCCTTCAAATCTTCATCGTGAATCTTCCGGTGACCTCCAAAGCTATCAAATCATTCTCAAATGCTTCTCAAATCATCCCGATTGTTCCTCAAGTGCCGGTACCCGGGCTCAAATTCCCTGATTTTGACTACAAACAACACAAAACTCGAACCAACACCCGGGTAAACATAACTTGAGCTAAAATTGAGACTTGTAACACCTTAAATCTAGGAAAATCATCAAAAGCCGATCTCAACACGCATCAAATACGTGTCAAAATACAGACTTATCAATGTGTCCTCCTCATTAGACACAGTTTGATTTTTATGAGGGAAGAGGGCACGATAGATAGTCATTAGACAAAGGAATTTGTCTAGTAGCATAGTTATTATTAAGAGCAGTATAATCAAAACTAATATCAGTTTTAGCTCTATTTTTCCTCTCGTCCTCTTCTTCCTCATTAATTTCAGAAGCACTAGTAAAGAACATTAAATTGACTAACCCTAAATTCATGTACTTGATGTCATAAAATTGTTTGCAATTAACTTTCTTTAAGTTACCCGGTTTTGGCAGCCTAGACCTTCTCTTGGATCATAAAATTCAATGTCCTTTGGTCTATTATTTAACAGAAAAACAGTTTGTTCATATTGACCTCTCTTAGTAAGAATATCCTCTAACCCTTTTATTTTAGAGTAAAAACGACCTCACTCCCTATTACGTTCTTCAAAACATTTAATAGCTTCAGAACATTTTCGCTTGTGTTCATCTCGATCCTTAGTTAAATCACAGACTACTTTCTTAAGTTTAGCTACTTCAAATTCTAAGCTAGTAACTTTATCTTGTGAATTCTTTAAGCGAACACCAAGATGTGCTTCCTGTTCGAAATGTCTTTCCATGCAACTTTGATTATTAGCAAGTCTGTTTTAAAGTTCCTTTATTTTAATTCTTTCTTGTTTAAAGAACAAATTTGCTCATTAATTTTAGTGCATTGCTTGAAAATTAAAGAGTTTAGATTATGTTGAGGTTTATTCATTCAATCCGAGGGCCCAACACGTAACCCAAGGATTTCGAATGGAGAGAACTAGTGGATATGAAGTGCAAGCAAGTAAGATGGGCTAAAGTATGTCTGCAGCAGTGAGTCGTCTCTTATTAAACGATAATAAGGGTCCGTATACAACACAATAAGCTACCTGGCCTGAGACCGATCATCTTTCTTGCTAAGTAAAAGCTGATAATAAAGCTAGAATGCTAGGGAGAATAAGTTGCCAACCATTTACAATGAAATTGATGGTACCATGGATTCTAACCATGGCCCAATTACGTAGCCCAGCCCATAACAGGATCAACCTAATTAACAGGATTAGCTCATAAACAGGATCAGCCCATGACGGGATCAGCCTAATTAAATGGATTAGCCGATAAACGGGTTCAGCCCATGACGGGATCAGCCTAATTAACAGGATCAGCCCATAAACGGGATTTATATTGAATTGCTGCTTGGCTCATTAGGAATCAAGCCCAAGATAGGAACCCACAGCCAGGCCGGTCTGGACAGCAGACCTCGAGCCTGAGCGGAGTTCTAGTGAGGCCGGGATATTCCTAGGGCCTACGTGGCAAGATATCATTTGATGATATATATTTGGCAACAGGCAGGACTCAACCGGAACTAGGAAACAATTATCGTGTGGATCAAGCATGGAAGGAGTTCTATTAATTGGGCATTTATTGTATTAGATTCCTCCCATAATTCTACCTCCTAATCTCTATAAATACTCCATGTAAACACCCTACGAGGGGGACTTTGGATTGATTTTCTGATCGGCAATTCGCATTCCGGAATAAGAGTAATACTGCCTTACGCTGCCATATTGTTTTCGATATTATTTATATACTTTACGTATATTTAGCTTTCGTAGTTGGATTAAACTCCATCATTTGGTGCTCTCGTTGAGAGTTGAATCTACGAAGAATCATGGTTGGGTCAAACAGCCATAATCGTGTTGGTAGCAATAATCAAGGCGGGGATCATTACAACCAAGTCATGATCGAAGACAAAGGTTCGAGGTCACGACGGAGTGATTTCCGGAGGCGCAACGATGATATCACCGCTCAAGGTGATTTGAGAAACCAGATTCACGGTGCGGGGAGTTCCAGGTGCACGGCGGTGCGTCCACCGCAGTTTCAGACGCCGGGCACTCGACATAACATTCCCAACGTGGATCCAGCACAGGCATTAGCAAGCCTCACAACGTTTCAATGGGCAGTGGAGACTTTGACAACCGCATTCCAAGGTATTATC